CCACCCATCAAATCAAAACGCATTACGGTTTCACTGGGCCTACAAGACTACTTACCATCAATAAGAACAGTATCTTTTTTATTGCTTAGATGGGTGGACGAGCTCACAGCCCACCTGGTGTTAAGTGGTTACTGGAGCCCATAGATATCTACAACGTAAATGCGTCACCCATTTTATAAGTTGTAAGGTATCAAGTATAGTTAGAACGGCTGCCCCACCTTTCAAACCGAAATGCATTACTGCTTCACGGCAGAAATAGGTAGAGTGGTGAAACCTACCCCCGCGGTCTCACAAGAAGTCCTCCCACCAGTAATTACGCAAATTATAATTTTGCGGGTTTGATTGTTATTACACGATGCTATTCCTTCACCGTGGAAGTCAATCCTGACCATTTGTTGAGTACGCATTTCATCAGAAAAATTGGTACCCGCCTAAGATTGGAACACCGGTGCATCGCTCAACACGGATGCATCGGACATCTTATCCTTTAGGCCGCGACGACTTTTTAGGAAACCAGACCACTCCAATTTCCACAAACACATTATTAATACTAATATAACTAAAGTGGCAGCATTTATGTATGTATGTTATGATGACTATAGGCACTGGACATCACTTAACCTTAACTTAAAGTGGGCCGTGAATTTGTTCACGCGTGAAACTCTTTTAGCTATTAACGTTGACTTGACGCAGCGGATACCGCAGTAAGTCGGGGCCCTTAGTATGGGATAATGCATCGATCGTAGATGGGATAATGCATGTACACGTATGAGTTCACTGTGCCTAATTTTTTTATTTACTGTACATCACAAACCGAAGCGTGTAATTAAATATGGTTATGTAAATTCATGAAATTTCATTATTATTTCATTCATTAAATATCCTACCCGTTAGTATAGGGTTGATTAAATATATGATCGTGATGTAAAAATTAATAAAAACCTATCCGATGTTAATTGATAGATTTTAGGAAATATCTATGGTTTTTTTTTCTTTAATTGTTACGGTTCAAAAATAAAAATTATAATAAGCCTCCTTTTTTTTAAAGTATGCAGTATGTTTATGCATATGATGTGCATTTATTTCAGAAACCCCGAACTTCTTATCTGTTCGAAAAACAGATTCCACTAGAACGTGTTTAATTGAATTTTTTTAATTTTAAACTTATTACACTTTCAAAATTATTTCGATTTCATTCAATAACCTGTTGAAGACTAACGACATAACCCATTAGAGTAATTTACTAAGCGGAGCAATTCTGAACACGAACATGAAGCATTCAGAAATATACATTTACAATTATTCTGAATATAAATTTATTAAATTAAGACGGCGTATCTCTGCGAAATAAAAATATGTTCCTCTAAGAGTTGTCAATATTTTCAACAAGTTTATATTTTTCATCATCATCGTCATCATCACCCTGCGGCAGTCCACTGCTGGACATAGGCCTTCCCCAAAGCTCGCCACTGAACCCGATCTTCGGTTTTACACATCCAGTTACTGCCACTACATGCCACTACACTACTATATTTTTCGTTCCAATGGTATTACATAACTGGTCGAAAATTTTATCGCGTGACTCTTCAATTTTCTGGAACACAAAGCGTCCTTCTAACACGAAGTGTTCGTGTAATAAATACCATGTGAGCCAAAATTAATTTGCTGAACTGTGCGATAAGAGGGAAGGTCAACCCTCCGCCCACAGCACATATTGGCTCTGCACTCGACAACACCTGCCTAATGGGCTGGTAACCGAACTAAAATTATTGATACATTTGCGGCCAATAAAACTGGACAGTACTCGTGGTACTTAAAAAAACTGTTAGTCAATTAGAAAAAAAAACTTCAAAGTTCTTAGTATTAACAAGTGCTGTTTGCGCTTATTATTTGACGTATAATTTATGTAAATGTATAACATGTATGGTTACAAGGGTGTTGATCTTCGTTCCCCAATCACAACCATACTATGAGGCTAGTTCAAAATGGCTGGACTGGTCCCATCCAGTTACCCCCAGTTGTCCCCCAGCTCCAATTTAAGCTTATATCATCTGTCCACGCGGACAGTACACAATGTTATATCGACTATATTGCAATATACCTATATATATCCTGTTTTTGTCTACCTAGCCCCAGTAACCTCGTCAAACTATTCTGCCCTCCCCTTGGGGGGGGGGGGGTAGATGAGCTCACTGGGCTTAACCTGAAAAAATTGCTAACATCTGCCCTAGCAAGCAGTGCTTCGCTGGATCTAGCACCGGATCGGAATCGCGGTTCACTAAGAACATGCTTGCACATCGAAATGTGACCGGTACTTGCAATGCAACTTGGCTATGCCGGCTACGATAGGAGGCTTATCGTATCGTGCCTTTCTCCACTAACGTTTCTGACGCTGTTTTCAAAGACTTACCGATCGATTTTAGTTCCAAATCGCCCTTTTACAACATTTCATTTCATCTTATAGGCGGTTATCTAATCTAATCCGCCATACTTTTCTGGATCTACACAACGCAAATATGAACTAGCGATTTGGGGTCGATTTTTTACATTATCTAGTTTTATTTTTAGTTTGGTATAAGTATATAGTTTATTTAGTAGTTTTAAACCACACCTTATGTCTAATTTAATATTAATACAGACTTTGGATCGTGAAAATTTACACTAATTTTCTCGAACTTAATAATAAATAAATAAACTTGCTTACTAGCTGCACACATTGATTACTTTCTAAGCCAATCATAATAACTACATTAGACTAAATTATATGTACAAACATGCCCTTCAATAACTTTAAGGATATTTCAGTCAAGGACGCCGGTCTATAACTTTGTGTTTTAACGAGGGTCACCTGTCCAAAAAAGCTTTTGTTAATTTAATTTACACACACAATGAATTCCTCGAATAAACTCCAATTCGTGAACTTTTTAGACATATCGAATCGATATTCGAAATGTTTCGTAACAAGAGGAACTTCGGCGAAGAGAGTTTATTTGTTTCTGCATATTTGAATAGAATGCGAACGAACATGCTAGAAACAATCTGTTGTTTGTTCAAAACATTTTTTTGTTCGGTTTTACTAAACGCAAGCGCTGAATTTGAATGTTAAAGTTTCTTAGCGGTGTAAACAGAGGCGATTATATTATCCGATCTTCAAATTGAAGGTGGCATCAGCTAATAATAAAGCTATAAATTTGAATATATGTTTCTAAGAAATCTAGAAACCTATATTAGAAACCAGAATGGACTATTTAAATATTACAATGCTATATATAGATATCAATTTCTAAAATTAAACAACTTACTTCTTTTTGAATTTATACTTCTTTAGGCGCGTTATGAAAAATTGATGAGAGTGAAATTTTACGATGCGCGCGCACCGTGACACAAAATTAACAGAATGAAGTTGCCCACTTGGCGAGTCTGAATATAGCCGCAGGTGAACTTTCGCGCGTGTACACTCGTAAAAAAAAGTGTTATTAGCAATAATTTTTTAGTAATATAAATGACAAAATTATTATTTAATATAATTCATACTGAATATTATTAAATTATTAACGTTAAATATTTATTATTCATTATTTCATATTTAAAAAAAAAAAAAATTAATAAAAATAAAGTATAAATTCTTACGCGCGTACATAAGTACACGCACCCTTTTTTTATTGCTAAACATAAATGTTAATAAATATATTTACAATAACACATAATTTTGGTAGGAAGTGTACAAAATCCTTGAGTGCAGTCTTATAGAAAATCACTGGTACTAACTCCGTGATGGGGTTTAATGATGTAGAAAACCGCGATATGTAGGGATTAAACTTCAGCCATATTAGAGAAGATTTAATGGGTTTGAAATACGTCAAAAAATTTGTTTTCAACTTCTGCGTTTAAACCGATTATTCCGGAATTGCTGAACCAATCTCGATATTTTTATTCATTACAGGGCATCTACGAGTCTATATTTCTCTGAATCAAAATGTATGCTCAACGTATGACATGCATCTTTATTCTTTTTGTACACACAGTTAATATTACAGTAATTGCGATAAGATATAAAAATGGCGAGCTTAACTTAACAATTGAATTTTCTACTAGCTAACCGTTCTTAAGGAAGGAAAGCTTTACATGAGTGGGTAGAAGAATACAATCTAATCAATTTACAATTTACAATCTAAACAATAACAATAATAAAAATAAATAATGCATCGTGATTTAATTATTAAGTACCATACAACACAATCCAGTCCAAATCCAAGTAAACCTTACATCGAAATTGAGTAGGCCGAAGGACCCATTATCCTTAAATCTTTAGCTACAACCCGGTTTCTTGGGGATTCTAAGCTAAGCTGGTCATCCGCTGAGACAATAAATTCTAAAGTAGAAAGATTTAACAGAGAGTCACGAGATATAGAAGCTGCAATAATTTCGGTGACTGGCAATTTTAATAAATTGTTCATTCATGAACGGTCGTCGGTCCTCGAAAAAGATAAATTAAAAGGATTTTTTAGGACTCGGGTAGAGAGAAACTCGACGTCCACTTGGTGTTGAGTGGTTTCCGGATCTCGGATCCCAAATCCTTTTCGAATTCCGGAGAACTATTACTAACATCATACGAGGATATGACCCACCTAGAAATGCTGCTGTGTCTATCATTCACAGTAGTACCATCGCCCTATTTCCAGATTTCTACACATAGACGCTTATGCACCCTTAAAACTTGGATGCTTAGGCGTCCTTCTTGCCGTCCTCCGTGTATTCGAGCTAATTTCGAGACAGGATCTTGAAAATTTACCTCGAGGTTGGTAGAGCAGCATCGACCACCATGAGATGCCACGTGCATGTTTTGATTGACAGAAATAACAAAAATTTACAAAAAAAAAACTTTATCTTTCTGTTGAATTAATGGCAATTTCGTAGGTAAAGACCATTGAATTCCCTTGTAGCTGTAACAGCATGGTCCTTAGTACTAATATGGAGGTCGCATTACCTGCCAATTTCAGATCAGCTTAGTCTCGCCCAAATGGAAGCAAGCAATAATGAAACGTATGGACGAACAAAGGCGTCTCACCGAATCAGCGAACAGTAATGGCGCTAAATTATATACAGGACAGCTATGGAATCTTTCTGGAACATTTTTGTTTAACATTTATAACATGGCGGTGTTTGGTAAGTAAATAAAAACGTACAATTTCCAATAGAACTACCGATTTTATTCATAAAGAATAAAGATGTAAGTTTTACATTTTAAAAAATACCTTATTTTTAGGACAAGCTTACTAGTTGATTTTTCTTTAAATAGATAGAATATCAGCAAAATTTTAAATAGATTTATATTTTTAAGTATACTTATTCATTATTCGACTAATAAAACGAGAATCTGTATAAATTAACAGTGCGTAAAGACAATGGCGTTTCCGAAGCTGAAACGGAAATATACGACCGCAGTGGCATAGTTATGCCAATGCAACTAACGCGGCGTCCTGGTTTAAGGAGTCCCTAGCAAGCTACAAAATATTTTTTTTGTCTCAAGCCTTTTTACGAAAGTATCTCTCATACTGCGTTTCAGGCATTGGAGCTCCACTTCCACAAACATTATGGGGAAGATTAGCGACTGTAATGTACTCTGTTGTAGCCACACCAACTCATATTTACTTAAGTAAGTCCTTAACAAAGATTTTATAATTCAGTTTCCAAATCAACTAAAAGGAATATGTCAAGAATCGACGCTTACGAATTTGGTCTACAGAAACCGTAATATATTTATTTTTATTTTTATTTCTTACATTTCATGTCAAATTTACATTGGCGGACTTAATGCCTAAGGCATTCTCTACCAGTCAACCAAAGGTAGTGCAGAGTAAATAGTGGTAGGTGCAATGAAATTTATATTAGGTTACGAATACATACAAAAAAAGTATATCTACATATATACAAAATCATATATACATACATACATACATACATACATACATACATACATATAATAGTTTATACAGTAATATAACTGTAAATACGTTTAAACATCCAATATACACTCAACCGCATTTAAATATAATGGGATTTTTAAAGTACCTTCGCTGCTTTAGTTTGTGTATTTAATTTATTGACTGCAAATAAATGGATTTGCTCACGGTCCACATCGTCTTCTAAAGCTATTTAATTTTGCAGTGAAAAACTGGGGCACGTTCGCTGCGGTGCAAGTCGAAAAATATGTCAAAAGCTTTAATAAAACTGATGATGATTCACGTAAACTTTACGGTAAGCCAAAATTAGGCGAAGGCGTAATACTAAGTGTAGTAACAGTCAATATTAGGAAATGTACTTAGAAACACAAGTCCAGCTTAATGATATTACAATGCGAAACAGAATCATAGAACGAAACGCTCCCATTGCGAAACAGACATAATCATAGAACGAAACTCTCCTTAATAAGGGTATTGTAAATAAATACTAAAACCCTAAGTAACCCTGATCTTCAAACTTCCTTTATATATTTTTTCGTAATTACTGGAAATAGTTTACCAACCTGCATAAATCGGTACCCTTTACTATTGAAATCTGCCGCGAGGTAATCATGTCTTCTGGTTTGAAAGGTTTAACTGAATCTTCAACCTCACCCAAGGACTCAAATTCCATAAAAGACCCATCTGTTTTTCTGGGTTCAAAAATAAAAGTAATAAATTTAATTCGAAATAATAAATATTTCTGGGTTCAATCGCAAAACTAATCAAACAAGACTTTCTCAGTCTAGCTTTAGGACTGCTTAGAACAGACGCGATAAATGAGCCGGCACAACGTGACTTTAAGTTAAAGTTTGACCTCCGCCAAGTCGTTTAAGGCAACCGCAAACACGTCTTCGACTAAACTAGTAAACATTTGTGATTTAATTTAAATCTGACTGTAAATTCCATAGCTACGACTAGACTTGCAACTCACAAGGGCTTACTTAATATAATAGAGTTAATAATAATTGTAATATTAAATGTGATTTCAATAAAATATATTATTGTATAATAAAAAAAAACCCTACCTATGCTGATAGCCTTGAGAGGCTATATCAGCTTCTCCTTGACGTGTAGGTGAGCTCACGGGGCTCAAACCGGGTGTGTTGCTAACACTGGCCCTAGCAAGAGCAGTGCTTCGCAGAATCTACCACCGGATCGAAAACGCGACCCACTAAGAAGATCCGGCGAGAAACTCAGTGGGTTGTATCTATGGGCTAACTCACTCGTCGAGCCCTTCGTCGCAAGCGACGGGTTCGAGGAGGACAGTGACCGGTGCTTGTGGTACCTTAAAGCACCGTTAATATATCAGGAGGATATATTGTAATAATAAGTAGTCTAGCTATGAAGAAATGAAGACAATACGAGTACAGGCGAATGATGTCGTACAGTACCAGCATTTGACGTTTGCAAGAGAGATAAGTAGTGTGTGACAGATAAAGCTCTATGAATACGAAATAAGCCGATAGTCTCTTTCCAAAAGACGATGTTAAATATTTGTGGCCGGTATTGTAAGTACTATTAACACACTCAATAGCGATTTTCTATGTATAAAAATAATGTAGAAAAATGTTGTACATTTTGTTAATATGTATTACTATTTTCACATATTACCCGTCCGTCTCAAATAAAAGGTTCGCACCTAGACGGGTAACTTCAAATCAGCTGTTATTTTAAGTAAATCGAACCGACCGAATTTAGTACTTTTAAAATTTTCAATTTTATCACTGATATTTTTATTCAGTTAAATACAAAATGTCGGTATAACCACACCAATTTTTAAGACATTTTGGCGGTTGCCTGGATTGACTCATAGTCGAAATCTCCAATACTTAAAAAAATCATTATCATTATCTTCAATCAGATATCCAACCCAAACCTGCTTAAAATACTGTGTATAAGAAAATGAACGTTCATGTCAAAGTAAAAACAATGACGACGCAATAAGAGAAATGTCAATAGTACTTATTAAAAACTAAATTAGAAAATTCATTCCCAACACAAACAATACTATTAAAACAGTTCGTAAACAAAACAAAACAAAACTAATAAACTAGACTTGGAGCGTGCTAGCGAATAATACTCGCCATGAATAAATAATAGGTACACAATACCGATTAATGCTTCCATTTTACAATAATGTAAACTGTTTATGCGGCCTTCTTCAGAGTCGCAACATTGTACAGGACTGAACTCAGTCGAGGCGGTACCATAGATAAAACATACATATGACTAGGTGAATTGCAACCGGTAGTTTGCTAATTATACGAAATATTAATTATAGTAATCGGCACGAGTCGTGAGCTCTGACCTTGACATGAGCAGAAGTGCATTTTTGGGTTTGTTTGGGGGAACAAGGCAAAAACGGGAATGGCACCGGCCATATCGATTACATTATTTGATCTTCCCGCATCGTGTCACAGGCCGTGAGTTGTGATTGGTTCCCGGTGTTGTGCACGCGCATCCTGCCAGTAGGGTTGAGTCTATAGGGTCTATAGGGTTGACCGTGTAGACTTCAAATTATAGTAGGTTTTGGAGGACAGGGCCTGTTCTAAACGACATGGCGACATTCGAGTCTCTTAAAAAATCTTTGGAGCAAGCAGTGGGAAACAGTGCTTAAATCCATAGATTCGTATAAATTTGAATAATAGTACATTCATTTTAAACGTTACATTACTTCATTTAAAAAAATGCATTTTCATTTGTAACAGAACTTGTGGCTGGACTAGGTACAGTGGTTGAATGAAATTTAACAAAAAGTAATTTTCGTACTAAAAATATTACTTCTAACATTAAAAAAAATATCAAGATCAAGATTACGAAGATCTTTAAATGACGATAACTTTATTGCATTGTCCGATTTTAATAAAACAATTCCTAGATTCTATTCTGAATTAATCTCTGTCGATCAGTGAAAATTCATTCAATAGTTTCGGAGTTGTGCACGAACAAATAAACAGACAGACAGTAAATAATTCTTTGATTGATTGATTCTTTCTTCAATTGATTTATATTCTATCACTCTTCTTTAGTAACCCGCTTTCTGTTTTTACTCATTTTACAGCACACAATACTGTTGAGACATCGACCTCATGTCTCAAGGTGGATGGCCACAGTCACTTTATAATACTCTTTATAATACTCAGTCACACACTCTCTCTCTCTCTCTCTTCAATCGGTCCCTCATTGCTGAGGATCTTGACCTCTACCCCTAGGCCTTTTTCTCTCGATTTTACCGGTCACAAGGCGTTGCAAATTGCTGGTATCCCTGCGTGCAACATGACCAAAATACCGCAATATTCTTTGTAGGCAAGTTGTGCATAGACGTTGAGTCTTTTCTATTTTAACTGCTTGAGAATAGAGATGTTGGTGCGGCAGGTCGTCCATGGTATTCCTAGCATACGTCGCCAACACTACATCTCAAAAGCGTCGATTCTCTACCTATCTGCGGCTTTGAATGTTCACGTCTCTGCACTATATAGAGCAATGGAGAAAACAAGGGTGCGGACCAGATGTATTTATAGTAACTACTTGATCAAAATACATAGGTACCTTATCTTAATTGACTTAATTGAATCTGGTCATGAACAAATTTTACCAAATAAAATTATTAGGTTTGCCCTTCAACTTCTAAGTCACACAAGCCCGTACTCAATTTCTTAGTACGAACCTTGCTTAATGGCGAGGATTATACAAGACATTAAACGAATTAACAGCTCTCGCGATGAGGTAACCGATAATGTCGGCAATAAGCAGTTAAGAAGCCCATTTTGAATACTTCCCTGTTAATTATGATGCTTTTATTCAAAGAAAATTAAAGGCAAATCCAAATAATGCTTGTTAACTACGTAAAACAAATTGTAGTAACACGCCTTATTTGCCATAGCACTAGATTTATCTCGGTTGAACTATTTTTTATTCATATTTAATTTTGGCATTTGGATTGCACTTATCTTATCTTCTATGTTTCTGGCGACCATAATACCAAAGAAAAATATCAGTTGGAGTCGTGTGGTCGTGAGTGTAGGGAGTTAAGATTCGCTTTAATTTTGTCCTTTTTGCTATGTACTGAAGGTGTTGTTTTTACTGTCTTGTGGTTAAATATATTTTTATTTATTATAATCATAATCATAATACTTATAGTTTTAATTATTTAGTCTTATTTGGGTAAACAAACTTTCCTCTGTCACCACTATCGTAGCCACCGCTAATTACATATCTGACCCAGGCGAAACCGCCGGCAAACGAAACATGTCGGATTCCCCGGATCCACTCTCAGTGCTTTTAAGCTCTTCAAGCACGGGTCGTTGAACTCGTGGATTACGACGAAGAGTAAGAGACTAACCCATAAACACAACCTATTGAATTTTTCGCCGGATCTCAGTGGGTCGCGATTCCGAACCGGTGGTAGATTCTGCGAGGCACTGCTAGCTAGGTCTAGTGTTAACAAATTCTCTCTGGCAGAGCTCACCTACCCGTCCGCTCGTAGTTGGAATAGTCCTTAGGCTACCATAGGCGGATAGGTAAGGAAGAAAAAAATTTAAATTTCTATACGTACTGTTGGACTTAACTAATAAGAACGTTTATTTCAACTTTCGTTACAGATAAATATAACAACAAGAATAATTATGACTGTAGTAAGCTTAAGGTATGTTTTAATCATATTGATTCATTATCTATTCTATCTATTTGAATATCTGATCTATCAATCTGAATTGCTGTTCGTTAGTCTCGCTAAAACTCGAGAACGGCTTAACCGATTTAGTTAATTTTGGTCTTGAATTATTTGTGGAAGTCCAGAAAAGGTTTAAAAGTTAGATAAATCTGAAAATGCTCGGAAGAATCGCTTAAATAAAAATGACAATTTTGTTTTTCCTTTGATGTGTCCCCCGTCGGACGGATTCTTTTTGTTTGTTTTAAGTTTATTTTATACAAAAGTTTAAGCATTTTATTTATCGATTTAGGCACTACGAAGTCTGCCGGGTCAGCTAGTCATTCATAAAATTGTGAACAATAATCGTCAAAAGAAACAAACGAATTATATTTTAAATTATGTATTACAATGGCGTTTTTTTTTTCAGGTACTCATTACGGTTATATGCCGTTGCGAAGCTCTGTTACTGATCGCGTACTACGTTTTGGGAATAATATTGTTTGGCTTACTTCGACAGAAAGAACAATTTGTTGCTGTCGCGTTTCCTTGGGAATTTACTACGTATGGTGGATTGGAGGAAGTAGGCATCTGTACTTGTATCGCCACGGTAGCTGTCATGCAAAACAAAAATATTTGACAGATGCCTGAATTTCGCTGACGACATTTTCAAGATAAATTTGTATATTAACAAATGACAAAAAAACATTTGGACCGTCGGTCTACCCAGTAATTTAACTGATCAGTGGGTGATTCCCTTTGTCGTTAATTCCCAGTTCTAAGCATTATTACTAGTACACACAGTTAAACAGGCGAAAAACCTAAAACTATTAATTCTCTAATTGTATATTAACGGGCTCCTAAAAAAACAATCTACTAAAAATGTAATGTTCTTGCAGGTAGCTGGTACTGTACGAGTTTTGTACGGTTTCTATGTGGAGGGAGCAGTGATTTTACTGGCGTACTGTCTGTCGAGCTTACTTCAACGTACTAGTACTAAGCTAAAACACTGGGCTCAAAAATACAGATTGTTTCAGACAGAAAGTCCTGTTTAAAATATTACATCTATGTAATTGCATTTCCGCTTTGGAATGAGCTCGCCTCCATGGTGTTTCCCGAGAGCTATGACATCTCCTTCTTCAAACGACGCTTGTGGAGAGTATTAAACGGTAGGCAGCGGCCTGTTTCTGCCCCTGGCATTGCTGAAGTAGATGGGCGACGCGACAGTAACCACTCACCTTCAGGTGGGCCGTATGCTCGTCTGCCTACAGGCTATAAAAAAAAACTTAGATATTTAATGTACATATTAAAATTTCTATACATATTTCAGGATACATTTTTGTACGTATTCCTTTAATCATAGCAAGAAAAAAAAAGTAGCGTTTTTGAATTATTTTGATCGCCTTGCTGGTTGGACTGGCTCACGGCGCACTTGGTATTAAACGATACGTACGACGTACGTCGAGGGGGTATCGTTGAGCCATGGACGAGCTCACAGCCCACCTGGTGTTAAGTGGTTACTGGAGCCCATAAACATCTACGACGTAAATGCCGCGACCCACTTTTGAGATAAGAGTTCTAAGGCTTCGGTATAGTTACAACGGCCGCCCCGCCTTTCAAACCGAAACGCATTACTGCTTCACGGCAGAAATAGGCAGGGTGGTGGTACCTACCCGTGCGGACTCACAAACGATCCTACCACCAGTAAAAAGTCATAGACAGTCACGTATAATCACATATGCTCATATCTGAAATGACTGGAATTATTTTAATTCATGTGTTATATATAGGTATTTACACTCGCACGTTCTAAATTTATTTCGATAAAATTTGAGGTTAAAAAAATAATGAAACAAATACATTATTACATACTCTCTGCATATATTTATTTTCCTAAATAATAGTCAACTGCTATTTACATCTCAATATGAATTCAAACAATAACTTTAAGCACACAAAACAGTTTTTGTTACCTACGTAATATCTACTATCACAGAATTGATAAACAATAAGAATGAAAGAAGAAAAAAGATACCTATTTTATTTTAGGTAAGTTCAAATAGCATAGACCATAGATTATATAATTAAAAAAAGTACATTAACTGGAATTCCGCATTTCGTTAATTTTTTTTATTTTATTTTAAACCGAGCTATTGCAACATAAAGTGTTTTTTTTTTTTATATCAGATACCTTTCAAAGGCCTATAATTCACACATGTGAGTTTTTTCTAATATCTAATTTACTTTATACGACCCTCGCCTCAAACTTCTTAAGCCAATAAAACTGGCAACGAATGAGCATATCGACGCTTGAAAGGCAAACGTGACTAAGCGACAGTGCGTGAACTTTACAGTAGACTAACTTAAAGTTGAAATACCTGAAAACAACATTTATTTTAACGAATCTAGCTGTAGTAGAATCTAGCTAGTAGCTGTAGGATTGAAATGGTTTTAATAGACCTAGAAATATATATTTTTTGCGCATCGTATATGGTTATTGCCTATCATTCATGTACAAAGCAGTTATTGTCGCTTAGTCACGTTTGCCTTTCAAGCGTCGAATTATTATGATGAAATTCTCGTCTATTCTTAAAAACTCCTGGTGTAAATCATTCAAGTTCTAAACGAGATGCCCTACCCGACATTATGTTACAAAGACTCGTGATTTGTAAAGTGGGTGTTTATTTATCCCTTGCCCCGGGATTCCTTCAAGACATCGTCCTCTGGAGTGCCTTCAATAGATTTCTTCTCCTTGAGCGCTTCCTTCACAGAATCCACTAAATCGTGAGGTTCCGCAATCGACACTTTCTTGCCTGTTAATATAAGAATAAGTTATGTAGTTAGTCTTCAACAAAATTTGTTAGCAGTTGTGAAATATTCAAGTGTACATTATAAACATATCTCCAAACGAGAAGAAAAAACCGTATGTTCCAACTAACATTAAGTCCACCAAAACAATGAATAAATTTATGAAGTATAACATCTTTGGGATTTGTTTATTTATTGATATTTAATTCACTAGCGGATCCGGCAGAAGCTGTCGAAGTTTTTTTATGTTACGCAAACGTATAAGATCGGCTGTATATCTTATGGTATTTAATCTAAGAAATACATAGAATACACTACCTAAGAAATACATAGAACCTTCAAATGTTTTCAGGAGGCTACCTTATCAAATACAATTTTGAATCTAGCTTATTGAATATAGCTAGTATGGTACATATCCTAGTGGTTTCCGGTGGCTATTCACCAATCGTATAAAAGACATCGATTTATTGCAATTATTCGCGAGCGTCAATTACCGCACGTCGATGGCTATGACTGACTGAAACCTAACCTGGTTCAGGGTCAATCTTGAGGGGACATTGGGGTCTATCACCACAGTGTTCACACTTCAGACACGAGGTCAAATTCTAAAGTGTATATATAACGCGTGACTGCATCGCGGTAGACGTAGGCAGGATGGCGGTACCCAAGTACCCATATGGACTAACATTACGTACCAGTATTTACGAAATTTATCAATTTTATTGATTTCGTTTGTATTACACGATATTAGTCGCCTGATGCGTTATAAATACCGAATCTTTTATGAAGTACATATTTATGTACTTAGAAACAGCGATAATTGCCCGCATAATTTTAGCCCTTGCACATTTGTATCAGAAAATTATCTAACGACCGAAGTTCAAAGCGATGGTCTGACCAGGGTTTTTTGTTGTTCTTTAGATTGGTGGACGAGCTCACGGCCCACCTGGTGTTAAGTGATTCACGTAAATGCCGCTACCCGCCTTGAAATATGAGTTCTAAGATCTCAGTAAGCCGAAACGCATTACTGCTTCACGGCAGAAATAGGCAGGGTGGTGGTAGCTACCGGTACGGGCAACAAGATGTCCTACCACCAGGTTGACTCAACAGCTAGAAATGCCAGTCAACGAAGCTCTCCACCAGGGAAAAGAAAAGGAGAGAAACAGTGAGAAGAGTACAGAAGTCACGATCCTCAAGAATAACTACTCCGAGCGTCTCACCCACTAAGTCACGGTCGCTACAAAGACATTTCCTATATTTGATGTTAGAAGACATTGCAAGCTCGCACATTTATTGGTGCCTATTCCTGCGAAACAAGCTTAGATCCTCGTATGCAAGGCAGGTCAGGACAGTCTCTAAGCCGATTTCATTGAAACAGTATCGCTAATCCATGAGACCCTGTACATGAGACCTTTAGAACTTATATATAATAATATTATATATCTCAAGGCGCATTTACGTTGTAGATGTCTATGGGCTCCAGTAACCACTTAACACCAGGTGGGCTGTGAGCTCGTACACCCATCTAAACAATAAGATAAGAAAAATCCCGGTAACATTTTAACATATTTTTAACATCGAGTGGGATGAGGTCGTATTTCGATCTTCAATTTAAAAAATCTTTTTTTTAAAGAATTTTAGTAATAATTACTCTAATGATTAATTTTTCCACCAAAATATTCTCATAAATTAATTTAATACTAACGTGACACGAGATTCGCTTGACAGGCTAAATTGTTTCACCTTTAATATGAAACAAAAATGAAATTAAAATAATTCATCAACAAAAAGAAAAGAATTGGCTATAGCATGATGGCGTAGGGTATACTAGTAGAGGACACATAAATAAAACAACATTTATTTAACAACAAGCAAAGTGTATTCGTAAATAATATTTACAACTTTATAAATAATTGAATAACCATCATACTATACCCAAATACTACTAACAAGCCTTTCATTATTCCTTTCAAACATTCAAAACCACGTTTGGTCGGCTATAACAACTACATTTAAAAGGACAATTATTACAAACAAAATTCATAAATAACTTTTACATCAAATGTTTATATTAGTTAACTTTGATTTCATATTATATACGTTTTGGACTTTTTCACATACTCCGCAAACTCTAATTTCGCATTATTAAGTTACCCCGGTATGGAAAGTTGACATGAATATACTTAAAATGTTTTATTTCTATTCTTAAATGTAGAAGAATCGGTGATAATCGATTTAATAATGACCTTATTCTTAAAGCGTTACGATACACAATGCAAATAGTCAAGATGTAGTCAATACTATGTACTTTATTTCCTTAAATAAGACACGAATTATATAACATTCAGCGTGTGAGTACTCCAGATATATCACGAATGTCAATTACTTTCACATTTACTTAGTTTTGATTCGAAATCGACTAACGAAATCGATTCATTCGTAAAATCGATATTTGAAACCCTCACCTTTAACATCGAGCATTTTTTAACATCATACCAACCTAATGTATTTGTTTTAATTAAGGACACTATTACGGTTTAATCTACGGTTTAATTAAAAATTTTAAAAAATTCGTATCAAATTTCGTCGGTGCAAAGTCATCAAAGATTTAATCACAAAAGTAGTTATTTTAAGATCGCAAGATCACTCTCACGCTTCGAACAAATCAGGTCGCATCTCCTTTTGTTTTTTAATAGTTCTCTCGTAGCCCATGGGCAGGTCTAACTCCCTTTCCGGTTCCGTAGTGCCGTATGAGTACGGTTGGTAATACGTATAGTAACACAATATGACAGCAGTTACGAAACCAGTTAAGAATGCCGGTTTGTTCTCGCGAAACGTTTCAATGATACTGTCTACAAATGTCCAGCCTCTGCTATTGTCATTACCCTGGTCGTTATCTCGATTCATACGGTGAATCTTTTCGTTTTCCCGAGCACTATCATTTGTTTTTTCTGCAAAATAAACGAATTTTTTCTCGCTTCACAAAACAATTGTTTTTTTTTTTTTAAATACTCCAGTTAGTCGTGATAAACTCAAAGTATTTCTTTCTAGTGAATCTGTATCAATAACAATAGGTTTGTTGATTGACGATGTATACACATAAACCCGTTACATTCATTGAAATGTATGGATTAAATGTTTTCATTAAAATCTTTTAAAATTTATGGAGTAATATTTTGGGTTTAATAGTGACTGTTTTGTCATTTCCTGCTAAATGAAGTTAATAGAAAGCATGGCACAAAAGCATGACGTCATTTCTTGTTATA